ACGCCATGTGCGCTCGAAGTACGACATCTGAGTACAGATGCCCTCAATCCATCCTTTAACCGGGGAACCGCATTCGGAACCTGGGCAACAGATATACAATCATAAGCATGAATGAGAAGATAGAAATCGAAGAAAAAGAATTTTGATGTTTAAAGAGGGGTTGCACTTACGAGACGCATTCCGCTTCTCAGAAAATGGCATGTATTCAGGGGGGATCAAATCCTCGATTTTTACTCGGACAAAGCGTCCCTGCTAGCCCCGGTCTCGGTCTTCGTCGATACTCGAGAATGGGGCCTTGCTGGCTCGGTGGGTAAGCTTGATCAGTCCCTCTCGGAACATTCGGGGATTGTATAATCGGAGCAGGTGATCGATCGTGAACCGACGAGATTCAATCTTGTTCACGAAGTAGCGAGGGAGGGTCATAATCCTCCACAACGATGGATGGATTTGCCTGAGGCACTCCCCGTACCTCTTGCAAAAGTCCAGTACGATCGGGTTCACCAGGCCCAGTGTGAAGGTATAAGTATAAACACTTAAGTACCCATCCACGTGGGTAGTAACGGCGTCCTCGGGCCCGGGGACTACTACGTTCTTGCCTTCCCAATTGCAGTCCTTACGAACTATGGGAAGAACATCTTCAGTCATAGAACATATGTACTTCGAGAATTCTTCACCCCGATCCTATTTGCGTGAAGGCTTCTCGACTTTAAAGTCATCTGCAATTGAGCAGCCACCGGGAATGAACACTGTCAAGGGAGGCTCGGTCGCCAGTTCATTAGCAATCACAACGGGGGAAGCCACTTCGAGGGCGACCACTTCAGGGGCAACCGCTTCAGTACTAGTGGCCGATTGAGAAGATGAAGAGGCAACTTGTTGAGGAACGGTTTTCGATGTTTTGGCCATTGTCATCGAGGGGAGTGTTTAAAAATTTGAGGAAAGAATACAAAGTTTTGGGAAACCGGGTTTTGAAGATGAAGAACTCAGTATGAAAATTTGAGGAAAATATGGAGATTACTATGGAAATTGAAGAATAAGGATGAAGATATGAAGGTTTGAAAAAGGCTTGATGAAGGCTAGAAAGTTCGAAGGTAGTAATTTAGTCGGAAAGTAGAAAAAGAACAAAGGGAGGAAGCTTTAATAGGGAAACAGCCGACGCTTCACATTCGGGGGCAACATGTCGATTAGCGACACGTGTCCGAAGTTAGAACGACGCGACTGACGGTACGTTTCGGCTCATTCGTCATAACGTACGAAGGAAGGAACCAGAGTCATCTGTCGTTTTCCATCGTTTCGGCAAGCCTACTCTCTGAGAAACAAGGGGACTATCTATATATGGGTAAAATCGAATCCAGTGAGCATCCCAGGTTTCCGGTGAGGCAAACGGAGCAGGAACGTGATCGTAATGAATCGGAGTTAGAATGAGGAGCCTCTCGTATTAGGGCTCGAGCAAAACACCTGCCCTCGGGAGCATCGGGACCACGTCCTCCGGGACCGGTTCGAACCTCAAGACCTCGGAGAGCATTACCAGATAACCGCACACGACTAACAAAGGGCTGTGATGTCCGTGCCCAACCAGATATCACGACGTGAATATCGGCCCGTATCGGCAGAAAATGAGTGATTAGCGAAATGGAAGATTTTTACCTTTCTTAGGATTGTACTTAGGGTAAAATTTCCCTACTAGATAAAGGGGAGGCCTATTATTCATCAAACACATTGTAACATGCATACCAAAGCAATTTACTTCAATTCTCTTTGTTGTTCAAAGTTCGTATTTTTGTTCTTAAGTTCTTCGTAAGTGCAAGCTTGGAATCGAAGGCAGGTTCTTCATTGGGCCTTTAACCGAGCCCGGGATCACTCTTATCATTGATTTGGTTATTTATTATGTCTTTCATCTGCTTAATCTAACGTCATTAATCACTTGTATTGAATTAATCCACATATCCGTAAAACTACATATAAATTCAACTGTTATCCGTTTTTAAGTTAATGACCGAATAAATAATAAGTCGTGAACAACTTGAAAGCTTGTTATTTAACTTGTGAACAAATTGAAAACTAAGTGAAAGCGTATAGAATTGAAATATAAGTTGAACAAGTTCAAAGTTTAGAACTGACTTTTATAAAGTTTGTGTCTAAATACTTTTCAAGGACAATAGCCCGAAGGACTGAAACTTGTCCTCAAATGAGTCATTTTCCCCTAAATAATTTGTTTAATTTTTAAAAATTAAATTTCATGCTAATTGCTCGAAAAATAATAAACAAGAAACGTAATCACAGTAAAACACAGGGGTTTTGACATGTAGAAATACTTTCTCATTGCAGCATGTTATTATTACTATGATATTCGGGCTAATTTACTTGCATCTTAATTAATTTCATGAGGTTTTCGCTATCTCTTATTAGTATAGATACCGAATAACTATACCTATCATGCTTGGGTAGATGAAAAATTCACCAATCATTTTTCTAGTTTTCCAAAGCGACTTATTGGATGTGAATTACATTCTTAGGGACGATTAAGCTTGAAAGATCGTAACCTTTCCATACATACATGTCCTACTGCTAATTAAACGAAAAAAGTTAGAAAAATAAAAATGGCTCCAAGTCCCAAATCTAAGCCTATCTATGATTTTGACTCAATTTTTAATTATCACTATTCACACGAGTCGGAGAAGTGCTTTTAACCAGAAATGGGTGGACAAATATTAGATACTCGTATAATTTTTGGAAGTTCTATGGGAAATGGGTACTAAATTTTTGTAAGTTAATTTCCTAAATACTTATCGGACACCTTACTGTTGCTACTTCTATTATAGAAGTTCTATAACACATTAATTAGAACTAAAAAGAATGCAAAATTCGAGTCTGAGGCTCAAGACATTTTAATTATCAGTATGAATTCGAACATTGATTTCATGACATTCCTAAGAAAGCAAATATACATATCTATCTAAGAAAATTATACTTTCCCCCCTGTTTTAATATATATAACACATTTTATTTATTAATTCTTTTTCGAAAGAATGATACAGTTATATATTTGAAAATAATTTAATTTTAAATTTTTTATTTATCTATATTACTTTAATAAGAAAAATTTATAATCATACTAATGATATGATACCACAAAGCTTTTACTCTTTAAACTTTAGAATAACAAGTTTTAAAAGTTTTTTTTCCATAAATTTTGTGTGGAATCAAATTATATTACATAAATTAAAATGAAAGAGTAAAAAATATATAATAATCAATCTCAATATTTTCTAATTTATACACTTTAAAACCAACATTCGAAAAAAAAAAAAACACTAACCTTCAGAAAACGAGTGCCATCGTATTTCTGTGGTTGGGACAGCTTGGGTCCAAGTGGAAGCTGCGGCTAATCAAACCCACATGCTATTATTGGCATCGGATCCAAATAAAACGTTTTATTCCTCTATTTTCTGGAACGTCTGTCGGCTGCACGTGGTCAAAGAAAACTAATATTGTCCTTGTTCCAATTAATTTCATTCTCTAATTTCTTTTCCCCAATGATGTCTATTTTTAAAAGATATTTTTAATCTTTACGCTTCTTAACATCTTTTAGTAATTTATTTGTAATAAAAATGATACATTGGATCCACTTGAACCTTTTTTCTTTGGCATACAACAAAATTTAATTATTTTACATTGATAAGAACATCTAAATTTTAGAAGAGGCAGTATAATGGCTCGTTAATGTCATGTTTCCTCTCCAATTTTAATACCCAAATAAAAATGTCCCTTAACGGCAGACAATACAGCTTACTATTTGTCAGTGAAGCAGATCAAGCCACATAAAAGTTCATCTTAAGATCTGCTCGTCTCTTTGCCACATTTCGTGTCCGTAATAAGGAGTAGTGGTTAAGTAATAGACCTAATACTGCTGGATTTACAGCTTAAAGCAGAAATATTTATCCCAGTATTCATTTAAGAAAATAGCTTTTTAATACTGTAATGCACAATATAAAAATTAATTCTCATAGTTGCAACAAATCAATGAATAAAAGATACATATTTTTCATACACACATTTGTAATCATTAAATATTTGACCTTTTCTAACTATATCTATTACTTTTTAGAGGTTCGAAAATAAAAAAGAAGCTATGTACGAATAAGATATCCAGCAAACAAAAAGATTCTTTTCGTAAGTCATAATCCCAATATATTTTATATGCATATACTAGTATAGCATGATAAAAATTTAAAATTATGTCCAATTTGACAATGTGATAGAAAGCAACATGAAACATTGTGGATTTGTGCATCCACCATTTATGTAGGAATGAAGGTGCTTTTGGTTCAACAATATTGATTCTGTTATCAAATAATCATGATTTAATAATTTATATATTTACTTTAATTTTATTTATTAAAATAAATTATTTAATTTATAAGTAGTTACCCAAAATTTGCAAATCTCCCGATACAAGAACTCAGCATGAAGTTGACGTAACACAAATCCACAGCGCCGTGCCGCCGTCACTACTGGTCTTGCGAATGCAATAGTGCTCTCCATTTTGTTTCATCTCTAACAAATATTATACTGAAAATGAAACATTTTACTGTATTATCTTTGAAAGGTCATGGATCATCACAATTCACAAGAAATGAGTGACGTTTCAACGTTATCTTCCCTGCCATATTTTTTTAGCTTATTTAATTTAATGGGCGACAATTTTTCTTTGCTCAAGTTGGCCTTTTTTATTTTTATTGGTTTATTTATATCACCGAAATGCATTATGCATCCAATACAAAACATCATTGGACCCAAAATATATATCTTATTTTATACTCCGACCTTCGTGCTTGTTCTTCATTACAAAAGAAAAAGGTGAAACATAGCCAGGTTCTTTGACTTCCCCCAAGAGAGATTCTAGAGATAATCTGAAAGACTCTTAATTGTTTCAAATGGTTCGTTTGAAAGAGAAACTCTGTTTATTCTTCAACAATAGATGGCTCGTATTCGTTGCAGCAATGTGGATTCAGAGTTTTGCTGGAATTGGATATTTATTCGGCAGCATTTCTCCGATCATTAAAAGCTCTCTTAATTATAATCAGAGGCAACTTTCACGTTTGGGTGTGGCTAAGGACTTGGGAGATAGTGTTGGATTTTTGGCTGGAACTTTATCTGAAATCTTGCCGTTATGGGCAACTCTTCTTGTGGGTGCTATTCAGAATTTTATTGGGTATGGCTGGGTTTGGCTCATCGTCACCGGTCGATCTCCTACTCTTCCCTTATGGGTTGTGAGTACCTATCTCTTTTCATCATCTCTTTAGCCAATTTGTTTGTTGCTGATTTCAAACTTTTCAAAAGTTTCTTTATTTATAGTACTTTTTTTCATTGAAAAGGGTCTTTCCCTGTCCCTTTAGCTATCCCTTTGATATTGTAAAACCCTTTGATTTGATATTGGATCACCTTGTAGTAGTCAATTCTCACGTAATTAGCAGGGGCAGAGCTAGTAAGGGAGAAAGGGGTTTAATCGAATCCCCTTCATCAAAAGGTTATAGTGTGCAGAATGGATAAAAATGTATCTTTTGGTTATATATAAACCATTGAATCCCCTTTAGCATAGGAGAAAATTCTAGTGTAGTGGTAAAGGGGGTCCAAAAGTTGCTTTGAGTCGTAAGTTCAAGTCTCAATTATGACATTCTAATACATTTTGAATCTCCTTATATAAATTACTGGCTCTACCGCGATGCTCAAATCGAGTTATGAGGTTACTATTGTAATATCAGGGGTTTATAAGTCTATTGACGTCTCATTTCTGTCTTCTGAATTGCAATTTTGCTTCTTGAGTATCAAACTTTCAGTTCAAATTTGGTCTTGGTGCTCCTGAATTATGCAATCCATTGCACTAGTTACAGTCATCAACTTACTATTAGGGTATTTGATTTGCTTTTTCTGAAATTTAAGGCCTTGAACTCAGGTAGGCAAGAAGAACCTGCTGCTCTATCTACATTGAGTTTCATCAATCTGACATTTCTATTTTTGAAGAACTTCAAATATAATTAAAGTTACAAGTCTGGATTAAGGTTGAAGAGCAATGGGTTTTACTTGTGAACCAAATAATTATCAGCTTGCCTGCTCTTCACGATTTTGTCAGCATGAAACTCCATCATCTATCATTTCCTCTCGGAGTGTAATTAGTGAAGGCAAAGATTGCATATGTCTTTGAATCAATGAAGGAGCACAAAACTGAACCGATGTCCAATTTTTACCATTTTCCTAGTATGCATGGGCAAGAACAATGCTTCTTTTCTCCTTATCCGAAAAAAAAAAAAACAATGCTTGTTTTCTATTGTGTAGCTGAATGCCCTTCTCGAAGTATGTCTGGCAGTTCACCCGAAGATGTTATTCACTATAATTTTATTTGATGGATCAAATCGTTTATTTACTGACTGCTATAAACAATTTGGGCCATATCCATGGCATATTTGCATAACTTGTATGTGTTTCTTTTAGATCACTACCTTGGCGTGTACTTCTAGTTTTGTCTGATAATTGACTTATTTCAGCTATTTCTCTGCAGATGTGCATTCTTATATTTATAGGTACAAATGGCGAAACCTACTTTAATACAGCCGCACTTGTCTCATGTGTGCAAAATTTCCCTAAAAGTCGCGGTCCTGTTGTGGGAATACTTAAGGGATTCGCTGGCTTGGGTGGTGCAATTATGACTCAGATATATGCGTTGATCCATTCCCCAGATCATGCTTCACTTATATTTATGGTTGCCGTTGGACCTGCAATGGTGGTTATTGCTCTCATGTTTTTAATCAGGCCTGTTGGTGGCCACAGACAAGTCAGACCTTCTGATGGATTCAGCTTTTCATTAATTTACAGCATTTGTATTATTTTGGCTTCTTACCTGATGGGTGTCATGCTTGTTCAAGACCTTGTTGACGTGAGTCACACCGTCACTACAATCTTCACAGCTATTTTATTCGTTCTATTGGTAATCCCGGTGATGATTCCCATCTCCTTGAGCTTCTCTCAAGCGACAAGAGGACCATCAGAAGAGACTCTTCTATCTGAGTCACAAAAACAAGATCCTGGTGTATCTAAACATAATGATGATCAGGAAATTATATTTAGT